TGGACACAGTGCTGTGCCTGAGCCGGTGCTATGTGCACACACGTGTGCACAAGTGTAACTCAAGGGGGGGCTGGGGCCAGGCCCAAGCCAGGGCTGCACGTGTGCACAGACATGCGGAGACACCTGGGCACGGGTGCAACTCAAGTAGAAGCTATGGCTAAGCCAATGCTCGCATGCACATGCACACGCACACACACAACTCAAGCAGGGGCTGAGCCCAAGCCAGAACTGCACACGCACACATGTGCATGCACACGCACACATATGCATGCACAAAGGTACAATTCAAATAGGAGCTAAGCCAATGCTTGTATGCACATGCACGCACACATGGACGCACGTACACAGGTACAACTCAAGTAGAGGCCGTGCCCTAGCCAGTGCTACACACGCATTAACAGGTACAACTAAGTGGGGGCAGTGCCTATGCCAGTGCTGCACATGCATGCGCGCGCACACACACACACACACACACACACAAACATGCATAGACATGTGCTGGTGCAACAAGCCACTACTACAAACATACATGTATCTACACACACATACAAGTTCACACACATGCACATATGGGCACACACATGTGCTGATGCAACTCAAGTAGAAGACTCTGCCCGAGCCAGTCCTACAAACATACACATATACTTGCACACACACAAACGTGCATGGACACACGTGCTGGTGCAACTTAAGTAGAGACTCTGACAAAGCCAGTCCAGTGCTCCATGCCTACATGTCCACTTGCACATGTGTGCACACCCACATGCACAGATACAATGCAAACAGGGGCTGTGACAAAGCCAACGCTGCCCACCTCCCCCCGATGCCCTCCTAGGGGCACATGGGGGGCAACTCCCACACGGCGCTGAGCTGGGCAGGGGAGTCCATCCCCCAGCAAGGACCACCCAGCTCCCCCCACCCTCCCACGTCCAGGGCTTGCACAAGATGCCAGAGCCCCAAATGCACCTGGGCCAGAGATGCACGGAGACTGGAGGAGGTTTCCATGCATTTGCTTTATTGTTTTCAAGTGGACGAACAAGAGAGAAGGGCGGGGGGGCGTAAGGCCGCGGTCCTTGGTCCGTCGTCTCCTCTGCAGCGGGAAGGGGCCGAGCCAGGCTTGGCCCTGCGGGCGTGCGCATGTGCATCACGTACAGAGGTGCCCGGGACAGACACGGAGAGCTCACCGCGGGCGCCTCGGAGGCGCAGCCGTCCCCCCAGACACTGGCTGGATTCTCAATTTCCTCTGAGGACTGTCAGGCTGTGACCCTGGAGCAGGCTTTCCATGTCTACCTCCCCACAAAGCCTCTGACCTTCCCCCCCCCAAAACAGGGTAGGTTTCAGCTCCTGTGGATGGGAAAGGCCAGGCCGGACCCAGCGCGGCCACCCATCCCGGGAGACAGAAACAGGGAGAGCGTGAATGACTGCGCGGCGGGACTGGGGCAGGGGCCGCTGGCAGGCCGGGGTCTGGTCTCCTTTGGTTTCTTATTGAAGGCAGAGGTGAGAGCTGGGGGTGCAGCGTGAGTGGGAAGGGGGGGCTCCAATCACTGCCTGGGGGGCATCACCGCGTCCCCCCCCCCCCCCGCTGGTCCCTGCAGCTGCAGCCTTCGGCGGATGTGGGGGGCTAATCTAGAGGAGTTGTTAGTGGGATTGTGAACTGAAAATTCAGCCTTTTTTGGCTAGGGAGGTGGGGGGGGTGTCTCCCTGCTGTCCACCCCCAGCCCCTTCCCTTGCCCTGCCCAAGCCAAAAAAAGCCAAACTCAGTGCTAACAACCGTGACCCCATAGAGGCATGGAGAAAGCAGCCAATTCAGGGCCCCTTTGAGCCCACAGGAGCTGGACACTGGGTGCCCGCTCGGTCCCGGACAAAGGGGGGTGAGGGCAGGAGACATCCAAAGGAAGAGAAAAAAGATCACCGCCCGTTTCCTGGGAGCAGAGACGCCCGCTAAGGTCTCAGCTCCGGGGACGGGGGGCGATTCATGATCACATAAGGTTGTGGCGTCCCCGGGTGGGTACATTCAGTGTTTGTCAGCAGTTCTATGGCTCAGGCGGGCCGCGGCCCGGTTCCTCGCTATGGCAGTGCAAATACACCTGGGAACTGAAATGTATTTGTGCTGTGATGTTTGGGGGGGGGGGGGGGGGGTTTTTTTTTTTTTTTTTTTGCTTATTCCTTTCTTTTTTCCACCCAACTTCCCTTGCTCCTTCCTTCCCTAGATAGACTTGGAAAAAATAAAAATCAAAGCTTGAAAGATGCCCCGTCCCCCCCACAGGGGCTCCTCTCCCTCCCACCCCACCAGTGCCACGGTTGGCCCCACTACGGGGAACCCAGGCTTTCGTGCTTGAAGAAAAGTGCTTATTATTTGAAGCAAGTGCTTTGGACAGGGGGGCAGAAACACTTCCTTATGGGGGGCAGATCTGGCACCCGGGGGGGGCCTTCAGATGGGAACATGGTGGCATGAGAGTAGGAGGGGAGCCTAAATGATGCCCCCCGGAGCCAAACAGAGCGGGAAGTGGGAATGGTCCAACTTTGGCATCGAGGTCCGTGTACAGGAAGCTTTGTAGACCCACCCCCCCATCCCGCCGCACGTCTAGGAGCTGCTGTGTATGGGGGGGGGCACAAAAGATAGGCGGGGAGCAGGGGTTTCCCTTCAGCCCTTGTCGCAACACGCCCGGGAAACCAGCGCAAGTCTCGTGTCGCGAAAGAACGCGTCGTTACCGAACACGCGGGTCATTACCGAAATGGCCAAGTGGTGCCAACAAAGTGGAGGGGGAATGCTACAGCGCTACAGGAGAACAAGACTGGGCCCCTTTCCCCACCCCCCCCCGGCCACAAATGTGCTGCTGGAGTGTGGTGCCACTCCCCTATTATTATCATCATCACCATTATTATTTAAAATGAAAAGAAAGAGGCACGGGTGAGGGGGGGGAACTGGCCGCGAGCAGGAAGAAGTGACGCCGCAGAGGGGGAAATGCTGAAGCCCTTAGAGAGATCGCGCTGATTGTCTCGGCGTCGGGCGGGAGGGGGGTTGGGGGCAGCGCAGGGAAGGACGGGGGATGCGAGGACACATTGGGGGCACCTGCTCATCGGTGAAATGGTTCTGGGATTGCCCCCCCAACTGTGGTAGCAATGGGGGGGGTGTACTTCAAATCCTAATGTCGCAGGATAAATTGATGTGCATGCGTGTGCATGCCTGCTCCTGCCACGTGTGTGCCCACGGGGACCCCTTCCCTCGCAGGCACTGGGTCAGTGCTGACAGCGCTAGGCGCTCACCCTGCTAGTCCCTGCGCCCCAGTGCCACCGGGAAGAGGTGGGGCCCAAGGGAGACCAGCTTCCCCGAGCCAGGCAGCACCCTGGGGGCCGTGGGGTCCCCGGGGAGATGCGAGGCAGCTCCCATCCCCTCTCCATGCCCCAGGCAGTGGGGAAGGGGCAGACGGTGCCCCGAGCGCAGCGCGGCCACACGTGGCAGCCATGTAAACAAGTGGGTCCAGGTTCGCCATCTCCCTCGGGGCAATACTGAACGGCCAGGGCTGGAAACGGGAGGGAAAGGGGGGCTTCAAGTCTGGCACAGGGCCACGGTGAGGTATTCGCTGCAGGGAGGTAACACTGGCTGGGAACCAGGCAGGTGGTTCCCCGGAGCCCCGTCACAGGGACGGGGAAGGCCAGGGCTGGGTCTTAGGTGCCTGGTGTGGGGAGACTGGCACCCGCAGCTGGAGAGGAGACCTCTCCCCAGGGCACCTGCCACCCACATGGGGGTTTCGTGGAAGTGCCTCGAGGGATTCAGGCTGCCTGGGCCACGGGGCCTCTTGCCTGCTCCTAAGCGCCACGGGTCAGTTCCTGAAGTGCTTTGCTGGGAGCCGGAGCCCCATGGTGCTCTTAAGGGGGTGGGGGGGTAGGAAGAAGAAGAAAGAGACAAGCAGGTCGTGCCCCCCAACTCCCATGTCTCCCGCCCCTGGGGTCCGACCGCAGTGGGATGGAAGGATGAGGCCAAGATGGGAACGTCGTATTTGGTTCGAAGAGTTTGGCTTTGGTTAACAGAAAGAAACAGTGCAATAGGAGCCCCCCCCGGGCAGCAGGGGGGAGAGGGGAAGGGATGATGCCTTGGACCCCGGACCACATGATCCTCAGCCCCAGAGGACAAGACACGGGACAGCCCTAGTCTGACCGGCGGGGCGACCCCAGGACAGAGCGGGGGGGCGTCACTGGCCGCACACAGAGGGGCAGCACCAGCCGCACATGGGGCCGTGGTCATTTGGCAAGAGATGCCCCCTCCCTCCGCACCGAGCCCTTTTCTTTGCTCATGCTGCCCAGCCCCTTCCCCGCGCTCCCCAACAGCTGCCAAAGCAAGGAGGATGGAGGAGGGAGAGGATGGGGGCATCGGATGCCCCCCCCAGCAGCCTGCTCTGATCGCTACGTCCGGGTCTTTGGCTTGGAGCAGGCTGGTGGAGGCAGGGGGCGGCCTCGGTTTCTACCCACGATGCCTTTACAGTAACTTGGAAACAACCCCTCCAGCAGCCCTCACACGTCCCGTCAGCTATGCCACAGCCCCCTCCCCACATGCCCCGGGCAGCAGCAGGGACCCCAACTAAGTCTCGACTTTCAGAAAATTCACCTCCTTGAGGGTTTTTTTTTTTTTTGCTTGTGTTCAGGCAAATTCGAGATAAAGGAAAAGCAGCGCTGCCGGGGGAAAGTGGGGGGCAGCCACACGGTATTGCGGGGGGCCGGGGCCTTGTGTCCCAGGGCCTAGAAGGTGGGAGCGGGGGAAAGAGAGGCGAGGGGGACCCTAAAGTGCCTGCACGAGGAAGGCAGCTCCAGCAGCACATGCGGGCATGGACCACGGCGCCCATGTTGCATCCGGGCGTGCGGGGGGTGCCAGCCACAGGGGGGGCAGGCGCGCAGCCCGGGTACAGTAGTTCCAATTCAAGTGTCAGCAGGAGGCCGTGGGGACAGGCACGACGGCAACACGCGCGGGGGCAGCAGCACTGACTAGTGCCTGCCGCCACGGTCCCTTATTTGTCTACAATCCCCCCCACTCCCCCCTCGGGGGTCCGAGCTTCCGTTGTGGGGCAGCCGCGGGGGCTGGCAGAGCAGCCCCAGGGCGGAGGGGAAGTATTTTGTGGTCCACAAATCAAGTGAAGTTTAAGGCGAACGGCTCCCCGCGAGAGCAGGCAGGGCCCTGCGCGTGGGTGGGGGGGCCTGGCTGGCACCGACCGCGCTCGTGCCCCCCTGCCAAGAGAAGCTGTTAGTACAGGCGGGGGCACGAGGGGGGTGCAGAGCCGGGTGGCTGCCGATGGGTGAGGGGGGTGCACAGCGGAAGCAAGGAGCCCCGGGTGGCTGCAGGGTGGGGCCTGGCCCAGGCTTGTTCTCCTTCAAAGTGCCCTAGACGCAGAGAGGCTCTAAATAAATAGGAGAAGAGAGGGGGTCACCGTGGGGCGCGCTACTCCGAGTAGCAGCCGTCCAGGCCGATGGCACCATGCCGGTCCTTGGTGTAGGGGCAGGAGGCGCCGTTGGGCAGGGCCCCGCAGGCCGCTGTCTTGGCCGCGATGCTGCAGTTCTTGAGGAGGTTGAAGCTGAAGGGGCTGATGGCGTCTTTCGGGGGGAAAGGCTTCATGGTGGAGAGGATCAGTGCCAGGCAGTCCGCCACGTCCTTGTTGGGGGCGCAGGCCAGCGCCGGGGTGTGACCTGCGGGGGTGAGGCGTGGGCACCTGTCAGGCCGTGGAGGGGCACTCTGCTGCGCACGCACACATGTGAGCACACATGGAGGTATGCACATGTTGGCATGCACACACACACACACACACACACACACACACACAGACATGTTTATGCACACAGACACACAGATATGCACACGCACACAGACATGTTCATGCACGTGCACATGCACACAAGGACACACACACAGCCGTGTTTGCAACCTCCCACCTGCCCCAATAAACTGCACTAAGTCACTGCTTTCCCTGCTGGGCCAGAGGCAGTGGGTGCCCAGCGCTCACACACCTCCCAGCCCTGGGCAGGCCCCCCAGGACCCACTGTGCACAAGCAAGGGAAGACAAGTGCCCCGCACACCAGGCACGTGGCCCAGGTGCAGCACGAGGACGTGACACCAGTGATGCAGGAGGTCCAGGAGCACCGGTCACACTCTGGTAGATCCCCGCCACCCCCCCACCAGGACCACACACCTTCTTCATCCACCGCCAGCACTGTTGCGCCGCGGCTGAGCAGGGCCTGGACGACGGAGGCCAGTCCATTCCGCGCTGCGATGTGGAGAGGCCTGTGTATGGCAGGGCAAGTCAGCGCCCCTGGCACGCGAGCCGCTCTGCAGCCTCCCGCCCATCTCCCCAATCAGCTTGGCCAGCCCCAGCTGCCCCCAAACGTCAAGGCCTTGGTGCAGGTGGCTTCTACCAGAGCACTTAGCTCAGCTGGGAGAGAGAGGGCTTCTCCAGCAGGAACAGGGAAGGCTGAGAGCCATGAGAACTCATTGCATGTGTGGCTCCACGGGCAAGTCCCTGCACCTGGGCGCTAGCCGCACTGATACTCACATCTGCAGAGCACTGTTAGTTGCATTGATAAGGCCAAGGTCTTGGGTTTCCCCCAGGAGCAACAAGGCACACTTTTCATGACCCTGGGAACAGAAGCAGCTTGTTAATGGGGGCGGGGAGGGGGGCAGCGACGTTCCTGTGGCTGTTCTCTCCCTGAGCAGCCAGGCCAAGGAGCGGCCGAGGCTGCGGTCTGCCATGTTTAAGCTCCATGGGCTCCGGCTCGCTTGCCATGGCGGGTAGCACTGTGGCCATGCCCTGGGGGCCCCAGCCACCATCCCATTGTGCCAAATCAATCCCACCAAGTGGTCACAGGGCCAGAGATGGCAGTCCATGTCCTCCATGCTCCTGGGAAGCCATGGGGGCAGGGCCATGTGCCCACGGCCAGAAACAGGCTGTACCTTACTGCAGGCCAGGTGAAGAGCCGTGTTCCTGTTGACGTCCAGCACGGTGATATCTGCTTTCGCTCTGTACAGCAAGAACTCTACAACCGAGAATCAGGCGCCATCAGGACCCCGCACCCACCACCAACGGGCTTGGGGCAGCCAACAACGCGCAGCGGGGGCTGGGGGAACAGGCTGGGGACCCGGCACAGGCTCCAGCCATATGAGCGGGCCACGGCTCCTTGCCAGGCCTGACCTCCCCTGCCCAGGCAGGGTAAATGCCCTCAGAAGCTCGCACGACCAGCATGGTGCCCAGGGCGGGCAAGCAGCCTCACGCACCGACAGCTGCAGTGTGCCCGTTCTCAGCAGCCATCATGAGGGGCGTCCTCCCCAGCTGGTCGGCCGCGTCCACCTCAGCCTGGTGGCGCAACAGCAGCTGTAAACCGTGGATGTTGTCTGCGAAGGCAGCAGCGTGAAGGGGGGTCCTGCAGGGAGACAGGCGGGCATCAGGTGGCATGTCCCCTGCCAGGCCTGGGTACCTGGCACATCACAGGTGGAAGAGGAGCTGCACTCACCTTCCTTTGGCATCTCTGCTATTAACAATCTTGGCACCCAGTGCTTCCACCAGCATCTCAGCAGTGCCGTCCTGGTTGTTAATTCTGCAGTGGGGACAAGGCCGAGGGGCAGAGCTGATCGGGGCTGAGGCTGCTCGGTGCCACGGCCCTGGGGGAAGGTGTTGGGGGAGCAGCAAGGAGCCCCCCCGCCCCATGTCACCAGCCCTGTGACTCCATCCCTCGCTCCACAAAGCCTGGCTTGGGCCTGGCCTCCTGGTGAGGGCAATTGCAGCCCCGCACCTGGGAGTTGGCTCCCGCCAGGGGATGCAGCACAGGCTGTACGGCTCTGCGGCCCCCTCCATCAGCCCGCAGTGAAATGAGAGCACTGGAGGGCAGGGCACGCGCCAGGAGACCCTGAACCCACCCAGCTGGCCCCAGTGGTGCCAACTTACACTGCACAGTGCAATGGAGTGAAGGGGTTTCCTTCCAGGTATGCAAACGGGTTGTGTTCAAGTAACAGTTCCAGACAATCTTCGTGCCCTGTAGAGACGCGGGAGAAGCAGGTCAGGGCTCACGGGCTGGGACTATGCCAGCCCTGGCGGGATTCCCTCTGCAACCCCGACCCCCAGGGGAGCCAGGCACGCGGGGGATGCCGTGCTATGGCCCAGCATGCAGGGCACACGCAGACACAGCCCCGCTCAGTCCTGACTAACTGGGGGGGCACTCCACAGCACCCAGTCTCAGCCAAAGCTGCCAGGCTGGGGACAAGGCTGATGGCAGGGGCAGGGGGTCCTCACCGCTGTACGAAGCCCAGTGCATGGGGGAGTAGCCGCTGTAGTCCACCACAGAGTCCAGCGGGTCAGTAGAGAGCGCGGCCTGCAGCAGGGTGCGCAGCACATCGGGGTGGCCGCAGGCCGAGGCCAAGTGCAGGGGTGTGCGCCCCTTGAAGTCCCGGCACAGCACGAAGGCGTCGTGGTCCAGCAGTGCCGCCAGGCAGTCCTCGCACCCTGTCACCGCCTATGTGGATACCGGGCTGCCATGAGGGGGGGGCCGCGCTGCCGGGACGGACTCCCCCACCCACCATGTCCTCCCCCGGACGGGGAACGTGGCCTGCCCTGGGTGCACGTTCACAGGGACAGCAAAATCCCCCTCCCACCTCCAGCCCCTCCTCCCCCACTCAATGGCCACAAAGTCCCCCAGCCCATGGCTCTGCTCACCCCGCGATGCAGAGCCGTCCTGCCTCGCTTGTCAGCAGCGTCAGCCGTGGACCCCTTCTCCAGCAGGAGGTGGACGCAGTCAACGTGGCCGTTCATGATCGCCAGCATCAGCGGGGTTCTGGGGGGGTGCGACCAGTTTTGCAGGACTCCTGGGTTTGGCCCCAGCCCTATCCAGCGGCTGCAGGAGGGGGATGGGGTGGGACAGCCTCACCCCTTCCCTTCTCGTGGCCTGTGGGCTGCACACATGCCCCGAGGCAACATGGCCTCCCCCCTCAGAGACCCCTGGGGAACTCACTGGCCATGGATGTCCATGACGTCGGCGATGTCAGCCCGCTCCCCGCTGTCAATCAGGAGGTGCAGGGAATCCGTGTTCCCGTTGGCAGCTGGGGGGCATGAGGGGAATTAGGGACGTACAGCGGGGTCCCCTGCCCCCGTCCTGGAAGGGGACCGCGGCCACCTCCTGTCCTGAGCCAGCTGGTCCCCTCCTAGTCCAGGCAGGAGGGCTGTCCCCGCAGCAGGGGAGGGAGGAGTCTGCCCCCAGCCCCTCACCTGCAGCGTGGAGAGGCGTCCACTTGCGCTTGCGCTCCTTGACCAGGGCAGAGGCGCCATGGCTGGTGAGCACCTCCACGCAGTCCGTGGAGCCGTGCTCCGTGGCGAGGTACAGCGCCGTGCGTCCCTTGTGGTCCCGCACGTCCAGGTTCACCAGGGTCTCGGCGAGGGTCTTCAGGGCTTCACAGTGACCGTTATAGGCCTGGAGGTGACACAGTCCCTTACAGAAGCGTGGCCCTGCCAGCCCCCAGACCTGCCCCCACATGCACCAGCCAATGAACCCTCAGAAGCTGCGTGCCTGCCCTGGGAAGCCCCCGCACCAAGGCTGCTAATGCCAGGACCACCCCAGAGGGGCTGGGGAATGTCCCCACGGGCCTCCAGGGCAGCTGGAGAGTCTCTAGCGGGGAAGTGAGCCCTGCCCTCCATGTCCTGCACCATCTCCTTCCCCGCAGCCGCACACCTGTGCTCAGGTAGGTGCCAGAGGCACCGCTCACGGCCACAGCAAATGCCCGGTGCCAGCCACAAGGCCCAGCCCGGCCGCTCCGCATGGCACTACTCACAGCTAAGTGCAAAGGGCTGACTGGAATGGTGCTTTCCACGTCCTCCAGGCAGTTGAAAGACATTTCCAGGAGCTGCAACAAGAAGCAGGAAACCCTTGAGACCCTGGGACCCTCGAGACCCAAGAGCTCCAGGGCAGCACCAAGGGCACGGTCCTTGACCCACTCCCCTGCTAGCTCAGGGTCGCGGCCTGTCTAGGCCCTATTATATCTGCCAGGGAAGCTGTAGACTTCTGCGCGGGGCCTCGCCAGATCTGCTCTTCCCCTAGCCCCATGTGGGCGCCCTGCGGCACCCATGAGCTGCACGTAACCCCCTCAGGAGGCTCCGCCAGGCTCCTATCTGACCCCTGCGTCCCAGCCAGCTGAGGCAGGGCACCCCACTCACCAACTCGAGGTTCTGCCGGTTGCCATAGGCAGCGGCGTAGTGGACTGCGGTATATCCCTGCTTGTCCCGGAGAGAGGGGTCAGCACCATTGTCCAGCAGGAAATCGAGACAGAGAAATTCGAGACAGCTGCAGGGACCAGACAAGGGGGGGTCACAGCTGGCCCAGGGCCAGACCCCACTGGCAGGCCAGGACCTGCTTCCTGGATGGATTCGTGCCAGGGGCACGCAGATGCCAAATGCCCAGGGAAGGGTCCAGGGGATCCGGAGAGAAGCTGGCTCAGGGGTTACTCACAAGAACGCCTCCTTCAGCCTGGACTCCTTGAGCGGCTCCTCATCGGCGTCGTGGCTGTTTCCTGAATGAGTCTCAGCTCTGGTAGGATGGAAACCCGCGTCAGTCCCCAAGATGGAGGGAACAAGGGGGTTGTGGGGAGGAAGGGGGACAGGCCCCGGTGCCTTTCTACCTCCTGTACGTGTCCGAAGCAGCAGCATAGTGCAGGGGGGTGCAGCCTTTGCAGTCGGCCTCGTTAATACTGGCTCCAGCGGTGACCAGCGTCACCGTACACTGGTAGCTGCCGTTGGCGGCTGCGTAGTGCAATGGAGTCCTGGGGGGAGATGCGAGGTCAGGGCGCCGGCGGCCACGTGGCCCCAATCCGGGCACAGCACCGATGCACGTCTCCCCCAGTGTCAGTAGCACCCATGGAGCAGGGGGCCAGGGGGACGTGGGCTCAGGGGATCCAGAAGGGCCCTGGAGACACCTCTGGTTTCCCCAGCCCACGCCCCAGAGACCACTGCAGCGCTGGGAAAAGCCCATGGCTTCTGCTGGCACCCATGACTATGTTGGGGGGGTGGGTTGGTCCCTGCCCCCTCGAAGAGCCGTGGCGCCGGCACTCACCTCCCAAATTTATCTCTCCTTCTCAAGTCAGCACCGCTGCTCAACAGCAAGTTAAGACATTCGACGTTCCTGCGGGAATGCAGCGGGGAGACCCATGAGCCCGGCCAGGCAGGGCCCCAATGTGCCCGCTCCGAGTCCCCAGCTGTGCCCTCAGACCCGTGGGGCTGGGGCAGGTGATCCAGCCCCCTATACGTCCCCCTCTGCATGGCTACACAGCCGCCCTGCAAGCACCGGGAGCTGTTGATCCCACCCCCGGTGGCTGTGCACAATCCCATAACTGGGTATGTTAGAACGGGCTCGGCCCGCAACACCAGCACAGGAGAGGCGTGGTGGTTTATGCTATGCCCTAGATCCAGGACACCTGGGTTCCTTCCCCTCCCTCAGCTAGATCCACAGAGCCTGGAGGCAGGTGGCCCAGCCCCTGCACCAAGACTTGGGGAGGGCACGGCCATGGGCCCCTGGCTCCCCGCAGTGCCACCCACCCTCCGGAAGCAGCAGCGTGGAGGCAGGTCCTGCCAAGGTTGTCAGGCGTGTTGATGTCAAAGCCGGCAGACAGCACGTGCTCATTGCTCAGCGAGGAGACGATGCTGTACAACTGACCTGCCGGGCAGGGGAAACTGAGTCAGGCGGGGGCTGCCCTGCCCCGTGACTCCCCCAAGCCACTGCCCTAGGCCCGTCCCTCACCTGAGGAAAGTAGCTTGCGACAACAGTCTGAGAATCCAAAGAGAACAGCTAAGTGCAGAGGGAACATGTCGTGGATCCCACGCCTGCCGCAGGGGAGAGCAGGGTCAGGAGGACGCTGGGAGGACGAAGGAGGAACAGCCCCCACCCCCTGGCCCTATATTGTCCCCCCACCATAACCAGCTCCCCCCATCATTAACCCTATGCACGACAGTGCAGCCCCCCAGCCCGAGTTGGAGAGGGGGGTCCCTGCTAGCCTGCTCACCTCGCAGTGTCAGCACCATTCGTCATCAAAGTACTAATTAGCAGCTCGTGGCCGTATCTAGCAGCAACGTGGAGGGGGGTATTGCCGTATTTGTCAGCACAGTCAATCTCGCTGCCTGCAATAGAGAGCCGTGGCTTATGGGGTGGCCCCAGGAGAAGGGAAAGGGTGGCGGGGGAGGTGGAAGAGTGACACTGCAGCTCCCAGCAGGGCAGGGACAGCCCCCACCTCAGATGTGGGGGAAAAAGACCTGGTACCCTGATGCCAGCTTAGCGCTGCGGCATCCAGGGCAGGACAGTCACTGCAGGGCAGCTTGGCTGGATCCTCAAGGTTCCCACCCTGGAGATCTAAGATGCAGGTTCCAGGGACTTCCCCATCCCTGCAGGGAAGCGCTGGGGCCAGGCAGGTGGGGCAGGGGCTGCCCAGGCAGCGAGTGCATCATGGGGGAGACTCCAGGGGGCTGACTCCTCTGGAGAAGGGGGTGGGGAAGGCATTGCTCCCCAGCAGGGGGGAAGTGGAGGGGTGGACAGCCACGTACCATTCTGAATGAGGATCTGGGAGCGCGTGAACCGGCCATGGATGGCAGCCATGTGCAAGGGGCTCTTCCCTTCCTTACTCTGCAAGCAAAGGAAATAGCAGCTGGGGAGGGCAGGGGGAGGAGGTGCGCCCCATCCCGCCCTCGAGGGGTCAGCCATCCTTGTGCCCCCTGGCCATCCACTCCCGCACACCTGGAAGTTGACGTCGGCACCGTTGTTGACAAGCAACTCCAGGCACAGGGCCCCGTTGGTGGAGACGGCAGCGAAGTGCAGTGGGGTGAAGCCCTTCTCGTTGGGCTGGTTGACGTTGGCGCCGCAGTTCACCAGCTCATTGGCCACGGCATCCTGGCCCATGTAGCAGGCGATGTGAAGTGCAGTGTTCCCAAAGGCGTTCGGCTCGTCGATCTGCAACACAGGCCTGGGGTTGGCTTGGGCTGCAGGGTTGGAAAGGGCCCAAATGCCACCCGGTGCGCTCCACCCCACACCCCAACAGTGCTGGGGAATGTGCTCAGGCAGCCCCAGGGAACTGGAGTGTGGTGGAGGTTTAGGACAGGAAGTGAAGCAAAGCCCTGGGGTAAAGCAGGTCAGAGCCAGGGCAAGGTGATTCCCCCGGCTCTTGGGCAGGGGGATACAGCATCTGCAGAAGTCGCCAGGCAGCAGAGATGGGGGTCCCCATCCTCCTAACATACAGGGGCATCTTGGTGGGATCCCACAGCTCCTGGTAGTGCCCCATGTGCACATGGGCATGGCCAGAGGCTGCTTCTCCACGGAGCTCATGTCCCCACCTGCCACCCCCACGCGTGGCCACGGGCCTTACCTCGACACCCAGCCGCAGCAGGTGCTTCACCACCTCGATCTGGCCGCTGGCGGCCGCCGTGTGCAGCAGTGTGTAGCCCTTCTTGTCCTTGCAGGCCACGTCAGCACCACGGGCCACAAGCAGCTTCAGCACCTCCAAGTGGCCTGAGCAGAGAGGAGTGGGGCTGCTAGGAGCTGAGGCCACGGCAGGCAAAAGCCCCCACTGCAGTCGAGCCACACAGTGACAGGGTCGCTCATGAGCTCAGGACCGGTCTACCCAGCAGAGGCTGGGATGGGGAGGGAGCAGGGCAGGACGTACCTAGGAAAGCGGCCCAATGGATGGGCTGTCGCTCTTTCTTGTCACACGTGCTCAGGTTGGCCCCCTTGTTCAAGAGCAGGTTCACCATCTGCAGCAGGAAGACGGGGATGGGGGTTAAAGGACCCAGTCCAGTGTCCAGCCAAGCTACGGTGGCACATCAGGCTCCCCCCCTCCCTGCTGTGTTCGGGGGGCACGTACAGCACCTAGCGCGAGGGGGCTGGCCACAAATGGCTGCCTCTGGGGTCCCCCAGATCCAGACACCACCTCCAGGCACTGGAGCAGGGGTGGGCTCACCTCGATGTGACCGCTGTGCACAGCGTGGTGCAGCGCTGTGCGCCCGGTGCGGTCGGCCACATTGACGCTGCTCAGCAGAGGCGCCAGGGCCTCGGCGCACTTGGTGGCCCGGTTGGCAGCGGCCATATGCAGCGGCGTCTGCCAGTATTTGTCGCGGGCGTTGACGTCGGCTGAGTGCTTCAGGAGGAGGGTAAGTGCCTTCTGCAGGGAGGGGAGAGGGAGCCGGCATCACCACGTGCCCCCAAGTCCCACCATGCCCTGCTCCATGTCGCCTTAGGGCACGAACTGGGCTGAGCCAGGTGGGCTGCAATGAGGCAGGGCAGGAGCCATGGAGGAAGCGGGCCTGGTTTTGGACACCCCCTTGCTCCCCACCCCCATCACCCCCATGGGGCCAGAGCCTGGCAGCCGGAGCCTGGGCTTCCTGCCATGAGCATGGAGAGGAGAGGCCAGGCTGTGAGGAAGCAAGTCCTGCATTGCAGGCTGGGCCAGGGCAGGCCAGGGCAGGGTGGGGCGGGGGGCAACTTGCAGGCTCTCCGCTGGCTTGGGGAAAGCGGGGGGCACCTACCTCGTTGCGGGAAGCCGCAGCGCGGTGCAGCGGTGTGAGCCAAACCGTATCCTTTGCATTCACGTTAGCACCTGGGGAGGCAGACGGGGGCTGAGCTCCGGGTGGGGGCAAGGGCAACCCAGGGCAGGGTCAGAGCCGAGTCCCAATGTGCCCCTCTCCAATCCCCACCCCAGTGCTGCAGCCTGCCCCCCCACACCTTTGCTCAGGACAGTGCTGGGGCCGGGGTGGGGGAGGGCAGGGTAGGGCCGGCAGCCGCCATACCTGACAAGATGAGCAGCTCCACGATGGCAGCATCTCCTACGTAGGCAGCAGCATGCAGTGGCGTTCGCCGTTCTTGGTCCTACGTGCGAGAGACGGGGCCCAGCTGAAAGGGGGGGACACGGTGCCATCCCTGCCCCACAGCCCCCGCTTCCACCCCAGGGGATGGCCCGAGGGGGACGGCCACGGAGCAGGCTCCCCTCTCAGGGCAGCACGTGCCGAAGGGTGAGCGCGAGAGCAGAGGGCAGATCTCCAGCTGCCTCGGCACCGCACACCCCCAAGGGCGCGGGCCAGATCCTGCTGAGAGCCGGGCTTCCTGGACATGCATGGAGAGCCCCAGGCTGACACACTGACTGCGCCTTCGACCTGAAGCTCTTCAGTTTCATGCGGAGAGCAACGAGTCACACCCAGGGCCCCGGTCCCCTTGGCCCTGTGGGGACGTGGCGGGATGGGGGCCGCAGCCACCGTGCACAAGGACAACGGTCCGATGGCTTCCCCAAAGAAAGGACACTGGGGAGTCCCCCTGCGCTCACCAGGACATTGATGTTTTCCTTCTGGCTCAACAGCGACCGCACCTCCTCGATGTCACGGTTGAAGATGGCTTGGACCAGAGGAGGCTGCAAGGGGCAAGCCGAGCCAGGCATGACCGGGACATCGGGCTGGCACCGTCTGCCCCCTTCTGCCAGGCTCAGCCCCACCCTGCACCCCAATGCTCCCACAACGAGAAGCTGCCACTTCCCCCAGGAAGATGCTGGGGACTTGGGAACTGCCACCAAACCCCCTTGTCCAGGCTGCTCGCGGCCACTGGAGTGAGCCTGGCTCAGATGACTCCGCTCTGCTCCCCGGTTGTAGTGACAGCCCCTCAGGCCAGCTCAGTGCTGCGGTGGGGCAGCCACCCCTCAGTGGGCTCCAGGAGCCACATCTGGACCCCCAACGGCACCCAGGAGAACTGACCCCGGGGACCCTCCCCACTGGCCCAACAGCGAGGCCAGAGCGTTAGCCTGGCACTGCCAGCCCCACTCCACGCCCGCCCAGAGCCCCTGCTCTGCTGTGCGAGCCCCGGCACCAACACACCCAGCAGGGCTAGGCTGTGAGCCCACCAGCCTGCTGCCTGGAGAAGGGCCAAGGGATGGGGGACACACAGCCCCTTCCTGGAGAAGGCGACAGGCTCACAGCACCAAGGATGCCGGACGTGGCCTGTCTCAGGCTGGGGGCCTGGGCCTGACCCTTCCTCCAGCAACGGAGCAGCAATGGGGCTACCCAAAAATCCCCCGCAATGCTCCAGTCTAAACCCCGGTCCGCTCCAAGACCGACAGAGGGACACAGGAAGGTAAATATTTGGCTTCCAGGGACAGCGGCCTGGCCCCTGCGGGCAGCAGTGGGAATAGGGGGGAGCGGCAGGGAGAGAGCAGTATCAGCAGCTCCTGCCCCCGGAGCCAGAGGCCAGGCCCGGGACTCTGGCTCCTGCCTGATGGACAAGGGGGGAACCTGCAGGCACACGTGGGCCCGGGGGAGGGGGGGATAGGGAGAGTGGGAAGCCCCAGTCATGAGGGACCACAGACAGGTCCTGGGGGGCGGCACAGTGCCGGGGGACCCAGCTCCCTGAGTTGAATCGCCCACCCTCCTGGGGCCAAAGGGGGAGGAAACGCGGATCTGCGCCGCTTCACCAAGACAAACCCCTCTTTGGACCAAGAGCTGCCAGGCACGGAAGTGGGGGTGAGCCCCCCTGCAACACCGCAGCTGGGCAGAGCTGGGGGGCATCTCTGGGGATAGGAAAAGGGGGCCCAGGCCTGGCAACCAAACCCCCTCTCAGCAGGCCAGGAAAAGGG